GGAGCAGAGGGACGTGTTGGGTGACCTGGATCTGCAAAGGATCTGGTGAGCAAAGAGGATCAGCAGAGATCCGTTTTTAGAATCATCTAGTAGAAGGAGGGATCTGGCCACGTGCGGACAGCTAAGCCATGCAGTTCCGTTAGGAGACATGGGCCCTGACAGCAATAAGGAAGTGGAGAATCACAGCTTTCAGTGCACTTGCTGTTGTCACTGGCGAAGCTGTGAAGTCCTATGCAAAATAGCTAAGGGCTAGCATATTTAGCCAAGGGTAGTTTGAGTTAATGGTTCAGACCACTCATCATCGTCGTCTGTCGTAATGTAAATAGGGGAGTTAGTGTCGTTTCTCCCCACAATAACGCTTTCAGTAAATGGGGGTTGGCGCTCACAGTGTATCACGTTTCCGTGGCACTCAATATACCTCCCGTGTTGTTAAATTGCTTTAAATTACGGTGTCGACATTTCTGCTGTCGGTCTGTTGAACGTACAAAGCCGTAATTTAAATTACGCTTAGAGGACTTTTGAGTGTTCTCAAATTGAACGGTAATTTACACTAGTTATGTCCACTGATTCCATTATAAAAAATAAAATGAAAAACGGCAGTGGGACAGCATGCGCAAAGATCTGACAGTGCACAAGAAACCCAGTCCAAAGTGTTTCAAAAGGTATGAACTGTCCTGTATGCTGCGGGGTTTTTTGTCTTTTTTTGGGGGGGGGGGGGTCTTGGAGGTAGAACGCTACCCCTACGATCTCTCTCAAGGTTATCGGTTTTATTTGGGTCCGGGGTGATCCGATCCACACACCACATCCCGATCCCGGTACCATCTGTTCATTCCTGATTTGCAGGAACAGTATGACTGGGATATAATTACGCGTCATTAGGGAGTTGCGGAAATGCCATAAACAAAAAAGCTCGCTTTTCTTTGGTTTTCTCCTGTGTCTTTCAAAATCCCTCCCCCCTCCGTCTGAGTTTTTTTTTTTAAATACACTTCTGTAATTAAATGAAGAAGCGCTTTTAATGTCCAGATCTGAAAAACGGCATAAAATGAAAGCCCCCATTTGCAAGAGCAGAAAAAAGGCTAGCAGCCAAATACTTTTTAAATGGCTTGTTGTGTCGAAGCTATCGGAAGATTAAAAACATCTCTTGAATTACAATGACACATCAGAAAATAAAATTAATGCAGTATTTTCATTAGAAGGATTGAGTCCCGGAGTGTTTCGCTATCCATTAGGCAAGGAAGGAGAGGCGAAACACGAGAAAGTACAATGATTCTAGTGTCGAAGACGGCTTTTAGGCAAATACACGACATCACACCGTGGCCCCCTTCAATTCAATCATGCCGCGTCCCTGCAAAGGCGGCGCAGGCAAGGAGACCCGGCCATCATGCATCCCAGATGTGTCAAAAAGTCGTTGCACTGCAAAACCTTCCACTACGACGATAATTTTGACCGCACAAACAAGGTGATCATGGCAGATGCTTGAGAAAGAGGGCGGTACGTGTCTCCTCGCTGACATCTTTTTTCCCTGGTGCTTTCAAAACCCTTCAGCGCGCGCGTGAAGCTCGCCCTGCATTTTAAACGCTCCGCTTTATCAGTCTTTCCAAGTCCAAGTCAGCACCGCCTGATTGTTGTATCGATTGTGAAAAAAATAATTATTTACTGAGTAAATTGTTTGCAAAGAAAAATTAATCACTTTATCTCGTTGGCTGAAATACCAGTGGCTGTAAATTCAGCGGCGCTCACAGTATTTTAATTGATTAATGTATTTTAGGGAACTCGACTTCCGCTCTCCAAGGAGAAACTGCGGACTTACATCATCATGGCAGTTTCTCCTATTCAACAATAATTACTAACAAATAAAAATATTGACTTATGTTATAAATGCAGCTTTTTTTAATTATAGAAATGTTTGTACTCCCACTTGTTCAGAATCACTCATAAGAGGGCCTGTTTAGTTTTATTTGATTTTTTTTTTCTTGAGAAACTTCAGAAGACGGATTTTGAGCTATTGTAAGTGAAATATTTGCTTTAATGTGCGGTCATTTACTGGGGTTTATCAGAAGCTGTAGTCGCCGCAGTAAATCGCAGTACAAAGACGGGCACATAGCAAACGATTTATGTAAAACCTTAGATTGAGACGTTTTTCAGAATTAGGAACAGCCGGTCGCATTATCGGTGTCTTCGGTGAAGTGCTTAATAAATTGAGCCCGGAGCACTTGTTCCCAGAACTACTCTTCAATCTCCTATCAGATAAAAGACAAAAATGCTTTAATCTGAATATGGGTTTCAATCAGGCTCTCTCGGAAGATAAAAGTAAATATACTTTTTCCCCCTCAATTATTTTTCACTTCATTGTATTTCCCAACTAGGCAAGTGCTCTCGATGCAGAGGTAAAGGAATTTTCCAAACCATCTTGATACAATTGAAAATTTAAAAAAGAACATTTAACCTAATAAGCATAATGATTAAACCTTTTACTTCGAGATCAAAGTGCGGGCTTTAATTAAGTAAATGAATTGTTTCATAAATACAAAATGTCCGCTTCATAATTAAACTGTACCGCATTTAGGAATCGAAATGTGTCGTTTGTTACACAATATACATTTCAACAGATGCACTAAAACGGAACGTGAGTAGGGGGTAGAATATCTAGGTCATAAAAAATAAGGGGCATAAGTTTTATTGAGTTGTTTTTTTCTCCTCTTTTTCTTTCCTTTCTTAGTTTTAGACACCTTGCCGCCAGATGTTCATTATGTGGGCAAAGAAATTGAAGTATGTATCCCCGCGCAGCGGGGCTGAGAAAACGGGGTTAGGACAGAATTGAAGGAGTGAGCAGAGGAAACCGTGCAGGACAATAAACAGGAGCCGCTAGGTCCTCTGGAAATGAACAAACATTTGCACACTAACCCCGGTGTCTGTTTTTGGCAGTAAACTTGAGCAACTGGCTGCCAGTTTATTGGTAGTAACGTTTTTGTTTTGCAGCTGAAACGATCCTTAAATAATATAATTGCTGAGAATAGGCCTAATGTGATAAAAGCGATCACTTGTGGTTTTGCGTGGATCAGTAGATCCTGAATTTACGATCGCTCCTTATCGCTTTTTTTCTACATTCAGGTTATAAATATTGTATTTAACACCATATGCTTACTTCAGCTTTCAGTAAAAACGAGAGTGTTCTTTTCGTCGTACTTTTAATCGGCTGTGAACTTAAAACTTGAGTAGACCTACGATGTTGTAGCTTAAAGTTATAATATGTTGACGACCGATTAATATTGATATATTAATTACAACGAAGAAATTTATATCTTAGTTTAGATGTATGTGCAGTGATTTGTATTCTGCTGTTAATAGCCTATAGGTGTAGTGGTGTATTAAACACAAAGACACGTAACTACGGGCTGCTCTCGCTTCGCGTTGGGCTATATGGGGCAATGTCCGTGTAGCGAGTATTAACCGAGAAGTGGGTGGTTTTGATGTGGAAAGCCGTGTTAAAACTTGCTTAATTTATTAAGCTTTGGTGCCATCTAACGGGCTCGGCGGAGCGGGCCGGTGGGCAGGGAAACGACGCGTCTCGGCACCAGCTCCGGCGACGAAGCCACGGTCGATTATCGTGAAAGAAAGTAAAGTCATGGCATGTTTTCGTTTTATACTCCGATTTCAGCCTTCTACCTTTAATCAGTGAGAAGCCTCAAATAACGTCCCTCTTTGAGCCTTTAATAACTCATGCAAAACAAATTCATGTATATAAATTGGTACACAGCGTGTGTAAAAAAAAAAACCCACAATAATTACAAACTGTTCATGTCAAAACCTTTAAAAAAGCACGTTTGATCTTTAATGAGCCCCCCAGCACCTTCTTTGGACGGCTAAGCATAATGCCGGAGCTCAAATTAGCACCGTACTTGATATATTATGCAAATTGATTTTTATTTTGATTTACAAGTGCTAAAAAAGCACCAAATAAGGGCTTTTTTAGCACTTGTTTGGTGGATAATCAAACTTTCTTGGATCAAACTTGGATGAAAACAAAAAGAAGTCCACAACGACCCCCCCAGTCTCTGCCACTCCTCTGACTTCCTCCTTAACCCAGAAGTGATTCCACCCGTAACCCTCGGATAAAGGTGGCTTTAAACTGGCGCCTTGCAGATATAAACCCTGGTCCTTCGCTGGCGACAAGCCAGAGATGCTGAACAGGGAATGACTTTACCCTGTGGATTTCTGTGTTAATCTGCAGTGATCCTGGCGGGAACCGCGCATGGCTCATATTACGTCACTAAGAATGAAGTACGTCGACTGAAGATCAAATTGCTTTAATTAGCATAATAATGATGTCTGTCTAGTCTATAAGTGCTCAGGTAGACAGCATGCTACATCCGGCAGGACCAGGGCTGAGAATCGGCAAGGAAATGCCAAAGGTGTCCATATCTAGACCTGAACCGTCCTGCTCTAGGGGGTCTTACCCATCATCCCTAATGGTCAGGCACCATTAAAAAATACATTTCAGTTTAGTGAAATATATTAAATATTTCATCCATTTAACTCCAATATAGTGCATCCATTTAACTCCAAAAGCAGCCTGATACCTGACACCTGATAGATGGCTCATCCTGTGCTTTGAGCCCAAGGTTTGCTCTCGTAGAAGAGAAAGATGGGATATGCAAAAAACTAAAGAATTCCCATGTATCTGTACAAATGGTAAATAAGGTATCATTATTTTTCATGGCTCTGGAAGGTCCTAATCGCAGGCGGCTAATGACACAGGCCAGGGAGAGCCATAATCAGCCATGCTTGGAATGAGTGTTTTTACCGGATAAGCTGCTTGTGACTGAAGCTGGTCCAGGTCTGGGCAGGGTCTGGAACACTCTGATAGCACTCTATCAGCGTAGAGGACTGCGGGCTGGAGACACGAGGATACTGACGCGGTAATTAGGAAAAGCACTCAAATGGCTTCCTCTAGTATGAGGTATATACACACGACACATTAATCAGCCAAAAAGCAGAGGCTGGTGATGGAATGTTTATTCTTGCACTTATTTCAATCACTTAAAGAAACACTCAGTAACATAACTTAGTAAAATAGTAACATGCAGAACATTCTGATTAGTTAATGTAGTCACACATCTGTTTTGTGACATTACCATAGTAATGACCCTTATTTAGGAAGCATCTTATTAACAGACTTCGCAACTGGGGAAACTAACCTGTGTAACTCACAGAGTCACACAAAAATGGCAGAATGAATCTGACATAATTCAGTCCCCTTTTACAGGAGGATGTCTGATATTAAGTTACTTCAAAAATGATCCTCTAGTTTAGACATAATCACTTGGATGAAGCGCTGATCCAGAGAGGTTTACTGGGTCAGGCAATATGGTGAAACTTAAAAATGATTTCCAAAAAGTAACACTTAAAGTTCACTTTCAGCTTAGGATTCACCATCATGTGGCAGCATGTAACGACAAAGTACTTAACCAGATTTAAAACAACAACTTCTGCTAAAAATCAGATTTTTCTATCAATACAGCAGCTGAATTAACAAAGCACTTCTGAAATATCAGCAATGACGAAACTCACTGAAGACATCGCCTTCTTAGACCACGACGAAATTAAACTATTTCAAGGACATTAATACTGAATCAGCTGTCAGATGATATCATTCTCACTGCATTAGGCAGAATAAAAGCATAGAGCATCGTAGGAAATGAAGGATTTATATTCCATAATTCAAGGGCGTGTACAACAGCAACAAATTGCATAAAAATCACTAACCAAATTCATACAAATAATAGACTATCAGGCAAAACATGTTTTGGCGAATACACCACTGAAATGACAGCTTTTGGCCAATACACCACTGAAATGACAGTTTTTGGCCAATACACCACTGAAATGACAGCTTTTGGCCAATACACCACTGAAATGACAGCTTTTCTCAGATCAGCTGAGTCTTGTAGACACTTTGGTCTTATTATATGATGACTAGAATTATTAGTGGTCCTGCAGAAATAAACGCACATCAGTACACAGCAGATCACACAAAACGGTCATTATGGTGATCTTGCATGAGTGATGGCGTGAAGCCTGAGTAGTGAAGGCCTCTAGACTAAGTAGGGCTCCTCGGATTACTGTGGGGACTCCCTGATACTGAGCGCTTCAGACAGAGCCTTGGAGGCCAGTCTGCAGGGCCTGGGCGGCCAGTCTGCAGAGTCTGGGCGGCCAGTCTGCAGAGTCTGGGCGGCCAGTCTGCAGGGCTTTGGAGGCCAGTCTGCAGGGCCTGGGCGGCCAGTCTGCAGGGCCTGGGCGGCCAGTCTGCAGGGCCTGGGCGGCCAGTCTGCAGGGCCTTGGAGGCCAGTCTGCAGGGCCTTGGAGGCCAGTCTGCAGGGCCTTGGAGGCCAGTCTGCAGAACCCATCGATCTGGGAAGTAAATCGGCAAGCCACAGGGCAGGGCTTGGTGTTTGAAGACACCCCCCCACCCCCCACAGCTGCGATTCTGTGTGCCGTAGCGTTTACCTCCATTCAAACCACAAATTTGTGTGGAGCTTCTGGGGTTTTTTGAAGCCCCCCCCCCATTGGCCACAAACAGTTTCTACACTAGGGAGGGCAGGGGTGAAGTGACTGGGCCAGAAACAAAAAACCCACCCCTGTGTACAGGGGAAAAAAAGTAAAGATGGTAGCAGAGTAGCTGAAGGGTCTACAGGTGCTCTCGTGTGTAGCTCATGTTTTTAAAGATTTAAATGATAAAGATTTAGATTATACCATGGGCCTGGTTATTGAGTATACAGATGGGGTGTTGGAATACAAAAAGCTGCACAAAGATCATCCATTTCTGAAACAAATGGGAAAATGTGTGCAATTCTCACTTCCTGTTAGGCTTTAAAGAGGAGTGAAGGACAGGTGAAGGCATCTAACGGACGGCCTGACAAAGGCTCCTGGGGCGGCCTGCTCTGGGCCACTCGAGCGAGAGCGCCTCCTCCCAGGAGTCAAGGCTCCGTGTGGCACTCCCCCCCCCCCCACCCCGTCCGGATAATGAAGACGTCAGGGAGCAGGGAAAGCAGACAGCCGCGCTGGGAGCCGGGAAGGAGGCAGAGGTTAGGGTGGGATGAGGAGCGGCTAATGGAGCAGGAACAGATGCATGATGGGATTAGGAGCAGGAGCAGTGGGACGGATCCCGGCACCTAGAGCTCAGTCTTCTCTCCATGCAAGGTGGCTTTCTTTGGAACGTCGCCGTCCAGGACGAAGCCCTCGTCACTCTGGCTCCGCCCCCCCGCCTCATTGGGCTGTGCGCTCCTCTTCTTGCTCTTCTTTCGAGGTTTGCTCTGACTCGCCTGCCCCCCCCTGGCCCCCTCCTTTTTCTTCTTTTTCTTTGGCTCTTCGCTGATTGATTTTCTCCTGCTCCATGTCTCGCTCAGACAAGCTGTAAGGAGGAGCGAAAAGCCATATGGTACAGCTCTGCATTTCTTCCTTCCATCCATCCATCAATCCATCCATCCATCACTACTCCATCCATCCATCACTACTCCATCCATCCATCCATCCATCCATCACTACTCTATCCATCTTCTACCTGCTGATCTTAGTCAGGGTCCTTGGGGGTGCAGAGTCCATCCCAGACAGCACAATAATCACACACTACAGCTTCACCGAATTGCACGTCTTCTGACTGTGGTGAGTAACTGCAGTGCTCAGGGTCATCGTGCACAACGTGGGGACACATGGAAACTCCACACACACACACTGGAGGGCAATTCAACGCCCATATAACCCCCCCATATTTCTTGTATATTCAAACCCATTAACTTTTAAAGACTTAATAAACTAGGCTTCATAACACGTCTGTGGAAGCTACTCCCCGTTTATAGAACATATTACGAGGCGTGCAGCTCAGCGCAGTGCTTACAGGAGCACGCTGCACTCTGCTGACGGGGGCAGTGATTAACAGGTGATAAATTAACAGACTGTCGGGTCACGGTGTTTATGGGCTGGTATTTCTTGACCAAGAGGAGAGGGGTTTGGTTCAGTACCTTTATCCTGTCCTCTGAGAACGTGTTTCTCACACAGGTAGCTGGTAAGGTCCTCCTCTTGGTGGCCTCTGTACCAGTCTTCAATGACATCTTCATACTGTTCCACCATCACATCACACTGCAGATGCCCACAGAGGTCAAGTGAGCTTTTTCTTTTAAAATACAACAAGCAGGTTTTCACAATACATCTTACAGTCACTTATCCAGAGGGAATCAAAAATCAGCGTAAACCCCAGTTTCCAAAAATGGGAAAGACTGTAATGATTGCCTGACCCTTCAAAGAGGGCAGTAGGTAATATTTCAGGAAAATAATGCCTGTATGTGTGCAGAGCTCAGATCACAAACCCAGTTAGGGAAAACAAATGGCAGTGTTGATCATAGCTGACAGGAGCTGAGGCTCCGGGATTCTGATCCAGGGGGACTGGGAGAGGACCAGTGCAGATGACAGTGTTTCAATATTTCCCTTTACTAATCAGAGGTGTACACAGGGGTGGGGCCACAGGGGCACTGGCCCCAGCTGAGAGCTGATTGGCCGTTGGAGTGACCCCTCCCCTGTCAGTCACAGATTCAAAGCATATCATTGGCTAATGATAAAGTTGGCCCCTCTGTATAAATTATGCCCCCCCTTATGCCGCCAACCTACAGTCATCCCTGCTACTAATGGTAGTATGGTACTTAATGTGACGTATGCTTCTTCCAAAAAGATTCATTTCCATATGTCACTTGGCAGTTATGTAAACCGAACATCTATGGTATTATTTATAGGTTTGTGCAGGTTAAAGTTAGTATTGATGGTCACTCCACACAGTGTGAATGCATTTTTTAAAGACTACTTTTATAAGCACGGTTTATATGTTTACTAAAATATTACATGCAGTTAAAAAAAACAACCATTATAACTTAAAATCCTGTTCGGTTTTCACCACTGGAGGGTCAGGAGAACTTTATCCATGAAGCGTTTCTAACACTTAACGGTAATCAGATACTTCCGCTGGCTTTGAAGTACGAACATACACAGCACCACATGTTGTTTGATACTGGCACCTGCTGGCGTCTTTCTGTAACTACATTCCTGACGATGACGTTCAACACTAACATCCTCCGTAAGTCGGTCAACGTGTGACGTTACCAAGATGACGATCCCTGTTCCGGCAAACTCACCTGCTTCTTCAGGTCAGAAACCTCAGCAGAGGTCTCATTCCAGAGCTCATAAGGTATGTCCATCACCACTTTCACCCCCTTGTGGACCAGATTATGCAAAGTGCTGAAAGTTTCTGACATACCCTGAGGAAGCCAAATGATCAGTAATACAGTGGAATACAGGCAGGTCAAAAGCGTTAAGAGAAGCAGGATAAAGGAAGGAGGCGATAAGTATTCAATTACATGAACAGTTATATGGATGACATTAAGCAAGATCTTACGAGGAGGTTTTAGTTAAAAGTACCACAACTGACAGAAATAAATACGAAACAAATGTCAGCCATGATGTTAACTAAACGTAATAGGTGCGCATGCGCGCGCTGGCGCCCCCACTCTTCACGCCCACCTTTGCAAAGCGGTTGCTGCCTGGTCGCTCCTTGTGGACGTTGTATTGCTGTAATCTTTGACACACAGTCTCCATCACCTCAATAAAGCGAATATCCCTGCAGGGTATGAGATAACCGCACAGACTTAAGCGTTTAGAAACCGACGATGCTCAGATCACATTATATTACAGTAGAACTAAGACTTACGATTTCACGTATTTTATTGGCGGGGCACCCTTCTCGTCCAAAAACCGGTAATTCCTGTCGATGACTTCTTTGGTTTTGCCCGTTTCTTCAAACGCAGACTTCATTTCTATACTCAGGAATTTACATACTAACACAGACAGTTATGTCAATGGTGGGACGGCATCCGAGTACGTCTCATCGTATATTATTTTAATCAGCGATCTGTTATACTGATGACGTGCATCCATCCTCCACTAAGAAGATAACGAGAAACTGTATATGGATGAAGGCTGCATGTCCAAAAACATTATCTAAGCTTACCTTCGCATTTGTTAGGCAGATGGACCCAGTCTTCGTCGTCGCCTTTTTTAGACGCTTCGGAAGCGGCGGTGAGAACAAACGCAGCCGCCAGTAGCCAGATGTTCATACCGATGCCACAATGGACCTAATATCGGCCACTTAATATCTAATTACAGCCCCCTTTGCACAGTCTTGTGTTTTCTGGGCTGTCACACGTCCGCCATAGTGAAGAGATGCACGGCACGGATGTCACTTATAGGGCAGATGACGGACCGAGACGCGGCGGATACAGACCAATTAGGGCCGGAGCAGGAGACGCCGGAGATGCGTGGAGAGTCACAGTTGTGTTATGCCTTTGAAAATGCCGCTAGCCTATTTGCGTTTATCCGTGTTTTACTGGAGCATGGGACGGTGTCAGTTCATTGAAGGAAGGATTTCTCGTCACTTTAAATCAAGGTAAGAAACATTTATTTTTTTAATGACCAGTGGCTATCAGTAGTTACACTGTTTATTGGAAATTTAAATGCAGATCTTTTGCAACAAGTCTCTGTTGCCGATCCACTTTCTTATTCCGTAATAAAATAGGCCATGCTTATAATTGTACTTGAATTTATTAAGCTCGACCGTTTTTAATAGTCATTACATAAAATAGACATATCTCACTAAATGTGTTATCAAATAATGTCTGCTTCTTATGTATAACAACGAAGTAATTTATAGTAGCTACATTATTTCTGAGAACAGCAGAACTGAATTCAATATTCATCAATCAAAATACATTTGTAGGCAAAGTAAGCAAGTTAGCAATAGAAAACATTAATGCATGTTTTAAACGAATAAGTGAACATGTTTTATTTGTAATAAAAATATTGTTTTGACCGTTATTAATTGGAAATGCCATTTTTTTGGTCTGAAATGTGTCCAATGTCACAGCATCATGGGACCAGGGATACACAACGTACCACTAGACAGGGCACCCTGGACCGGGAATAGAGTACCCAGGGTCAGGGGGGCAAAACCGGACCAGACACAACAATACCAAGACTGGGGGAAACTAAACCGACTGAGCATTGACATTAAGGGCTATGGGAAGCAAGATCGACAGGTAGGATACAAGGAACTGGGTGCGGATCAGATGAACAGGGAACATCACTAGGGACGAGACCAGGGGACTTAGCACACACAGACTAGGAGCAAGACATGGCACATGAGGAATATGACCTGGAAAGTGACAACAGGACCAAGGCTGAGCAGACTGAAGGGAACAGGACCAGGAGGAACAGGATCAGGAGGAACAAATAACAGGACCAAGGATGAGCAGACTGAAGGGAACAGGACCAGGAGGAACAGGATCAGGACCTGGGAAGTAATAACAGGACCAAGGATGAGCAGACTGAAGGGAACAGGACCAGGAGGAACAGGATCAGGACCTGGGAAGT